TACTGATGGAAATGCTCTTCATAACAAACTAGTATCAAGTGAGATAAGATAACTATGACACAATAATTTATAAGAAATCGTCCTTTCCTTTATTTTTTTAATTAGAAATTCAAATTTTTATGCCCCACCTTGAATATAATAGCCTCAGTAACCCTAAACTAATTGTGCTGAAGGAATATAGACGTAGGTGTATATATTCATAAATAAACTTTCATTTAACAAATACAAGACCCATAAATAAATCACTAGCACTTACTAAGTGGGCAGGAGAGGGAGATCTTGCATCCTTTAGTGTAGCTCCAGCTGGTACATCTAGAAGTGGCCATTTCACCTGAAGATACTGAAACAAATCAGATGAAAGGAAAAAAATAATCAAGATGAAAAAGAATAGTATTTTTTTTCAAAGCTTAGTTTTCCAACTTTAGTTTAATACAAAGGTGGTTTTTGTGGGTTATGTTTTAATGTCAGAAATCTCTTCAATGGTTGTGGTATATTTTTAGCCTAACACCAAGATAGTATGGTAATTCCTGGGAATTTGGTTCCTCAGCACTGGTTTTCAAGCTGCCTAGGTAACCTAAAGTTAATAAGTTATACAGTTTTTTTTTCTAAGTAAAAACTAGAGTCTATTTCTGACCTAGCTACTGACATGAATGGGATAGGGAAGAATTGATTCAGCAAAATTTAGGTACTAACACGGTATATGAAATGTTATAGAAGCCAACCATAGAAAAAGCTAATTACGCTGGTTAAGTTATATCTCCAGTTTATCAGTATTCAATAACTATTGATCTATTCTCTATTTCAATGGTCTAATTGAGAATGCTTTTAAATACGCCAACTCACTAATGTTCAGTATGAACTATTTAAAACAAATCCACCATTCTGATTTCTAAAAGTAGCCTTCAAAGCATGCACATTAATTTTAGGCTGGTTTCACATTCAAATGTAAATATGAAAATGCATTTTTCTGTAATATTCTAAAATCGATAACGTATATTGGTCTTTGTTGCTGGACATAATAAAGCTATTTTGGATTGTATTTCTAGCAGAGAAAGATAAGTATCTCATGCCATTATAGTTGAATACATGGGTCCTGTGAAATGTTGGAGGTTTGAGAATGTGGACTGGATGAGTTGCAGCTGTGCAATGGAATTTCCCTAACACACAAATCTTCATGATGTAAAACAGCTGGAAGGAAATCCCAGCATGCTTTGTTTGGAGGTTGAACAACCAATAATTTAAATGGAAGATTAACCCTTCAACTTAAAACAAACTTTCAGATTTCCTCTAACTATTTATTTCAGGTGGGAAATGGTGCATAAATGCTGAGAAAACTACAGTCTCTTAAAAAACCTAGACAACTATTCCTAGACCAAAACAAGAAAGGTAAAAGCATTTTTAAAATCAGATAAATTTTATTTCTTTTGCCACCTATCCAATTCAAATCATGCAAGCATAATTAACATTAAACAATATTTTGGTAGCCGTATGCATGAAGTTATCTTGATCTATTTCTGTTTTCATCTTTTTTAGATATTATAAACTTTTAGGACGTATTTTAGGGCAAACATATACACATACATGCTTTAGAACTTTTTTGACATCTAATAGAGGATAAACTGATATCATCCTTTCATTGAGTGATTGAAAGATTTCACACAATGAAATATTGTTAAAACCTTTTCTGTATCTTGGGAAGAATAAGCTAAGAGAGCAAAGAGTTACAAAATTCACACATAATAGTTACATTAGCATCTTTTACAATTTTCAACAGGTTTGTGTATAGCAGAAGAAATACAGCAACTGAATAAAGAATACTTTTGGCTGACAGCATATAAAATATTCCACATGCCTGAAAATTATCTTGAAAGTAGAAGGCCCAGAAGACAACCTTTGAATAGATTTGTTCAAAAGACGACTGAAATACAATCTGGCTAGTCATTTCATTACAACAATTTAACCACTAAATCGGTATTCCACATTCATATAGATATTTGTTTTATAATATTTATAATATACCCCAATCTTAATGGATTCTATATGTTGGGCTAAACATTTTAGGGTAAGAAACAAAAACATTCCAAAATGTTTTGTCTCCAGTCACATCTTCAGAATATTTTTATACCTTGATGCCTTATTCTCTCTATTCTTATTTTTAATTCAGTCCTGTTAAATTACAATACTGCTACAATTCCTTGCAGACAAACTGAGAAGAAAGTGCTGTTTACAAGCCAAACATCTTGGTTTGTAGACCGTAGTATCTTAAACTCTTCACAAGAATCAATTTCTTTAAATGAATCAGTTTCAAAAAATAAATTTTGTTTTGAAAGGTCTCTTATCTCCACAAACTCAATAATGCCCCCTTGAGCGTAACAACCAAAAATAGTTTTCCAAAAAAAACCCAACCATTCCTTATGTTGTGAAATATCCATTTATGACTTGGGTTAGGATCAATTACCCAAGGAGCATCTTCCCTAATTTGTATCAACTGGACTTTTTTTAATTATTATTTTTATTAAGCGATTTTCTTTTTGTTATATATAAAATTTCTATATCTACAATGGCAGTGTACTGTCTGGGTACAATCTTTTAAATACAAGTAATACATCTTATACATACACTAACTAGAACTATTATTCTCAAAATCTATTCACCATGATCTTCACTTATCCTTATTGAACATTTCCCATTATTTAATTAAATACTCTATTCGGTTTTATCTATAATTGGTTAATAATATCAAACATTATAAACATCATATGAACATCACATTTATAACCATTATCCTCTAATTCTGTTAATTATGTTTACTTATCCTAATTATTCAATATTTCATTGTTTAGTTGCACATTTATTTCATCTTTGTTTACATATCCTCCTCCATTCCAAGTTTTTAACTTCTGCTTCTATTTTCTAACCATACATATCAACTGGACTTTTAAAGAGGATATAATGAGGTTTGATAAAAATAAACAAACATGGTTCACATTCACACTAACTGCACTTGCAAGTTAGGACTTGAAGTAAGAAATGCACTGGGATTTACATTTTAGGTTTAGATGAGCAATACATTCAATTGAATTATTGTGAGAAACTTTAATAGTGTTGAATATCCTGCACAAACAATCTAAAACAAATTGTACCGGCAGTTTGAGATTTTTTTTTTTATCGTTCCAAGAGGAGAGTTGACAGTTTGGAAAAGGTCATTTAGACCTCACAGTCCAGCTCCCTACTCAGTGAAGGAATGCAAATTAAAACACCCCAGACTGATAACAATCTAATTTCTACTTGGACACATCTAGTTAAAAAACTCCACCCACTACCTATTACTCTCAGGAAGTTTTGATCTAGTATTTAATTGGAATCTGCTTTTCTGTAATTTAAATCCGAGAGCAGGTCTTGCTCTTTACATGACATCCGTTCACGTATTTGAACTGTACTATCATATAGCAGTGGCCTTTTCTCAAGGTTAGACACAAACATATCCTAAAACTTTTAGATTCATCATCTTGACTGTTCTTTTCTGCGCCTATTCAAACTTCCTTCTTAAACTCTGGTGGATTTGGAGATTTGTATCTAGTGGATAGACCAAACCCTATGCTTTCTGAAGCCTAGTAAAGATATAGTTAATACTTTCACAGCAGTAGAGCTTCTATGGAAAGCAGCTTTATTTCTTAGCATCCAGCACAAGATTAAGGCCAGATTTCACATTCCTCCTAGGGAGCAGAGAAAACATTTTAAAATTTAGAGCTACTGCCAATTTTGTTATATTTCAATGGTTGATATATATATAAATATATATATGAAAGTATTCAGGATTTCTCCCTTTAAAGATGAGAAGCAAAAATTGGAAGGTGACCAAGGAAGAAAGCACCTTTGGACAAAGGAAGTGGGGATTTGTGAATACTTGACATGAAACAGGAAGAGAGCTTATCTCATTCCCATAAAACACACAAATAGTCTACTGTAACAGACTGCTTTGTCCACAATGCAGAACTGTTTTTCTTCAACCTTTTACATTTTAGCTGAAAAATTCAGCCTCAAAACTTAAAACTGAATACAGCCAAAACTAACAATACCAGGATAAAAATGAATGAAAATGCACAAGCAAACATCCTTCCTCCTAAGCAAAGGAAAAGACAACTGGCCTCCCAACACCAACTATGAGCCAAAAGGATTATTTCCTTCAAAGTAACTCCTTTAGGCAGCAATTAAAGAGCAATTCTTATAAACTTGATGAACCATTACAAAAAGTATACTGGCGGTTATTACAACAAACACTTCATTCACAGAAAACAAGTAGCATCATTTGCAAGGATTCACAAATTTAAGTTCAAGCGATTAGTGTCTACAAGCTTAACCTTGGTAGCCTATTATTTTTCTGAAGGCAAGATCCCGTGACATGCTAAACATGACTGTGTTGTCCATAAGTAAAAAATGTACACCTTGGTACTGCAACAATTACAGATAGCTGCCACAAAGTCTGCCAATCCCCTATTTGTTTCCTTGCAGACATAATATGCTTGCATCAGTGCCTGATGACATTGCCTAGTTGGGTAATGAAACGTCTGCAAGCAAATAAGCTCAAAGAGCCACAAGAACTCTATAATTCAATTCTGAGGATTCACAATGGTAGTTACTGTACTAAACTAGTCCATCTCTCAATCCCTTAGTTTTTAAAGGAAAAAAAAAGACAGACCACAGAAAAAAGGGGTACAGCAAAACAGCTATTATAGGATCAGATTGGCCGTTGGTACTTACCTGATACACCCGTTCTCTATGAGCTGTGAAGAGCATCCAGTAGTGGGATGTGCTTCAGTCTCCTCTTGGATAGGCTGGGCTTAATTTGCAGGATGCTCCTCCTCCTCCATGGGACTCCTCTCTAGTGTCCCCCAGGTTTGGCGAAGTTGAAGTGTTGAAACATTCTATACTTCACCCTATCTAACGTTTGGTTGGAATAGTGCCCCACCAGACGGAATAAGGGTGGGGCAGGATGCTCTTCACAGCTCATAGAGAACGGGCGTATCAGGGAAGTACCAACGCCCATTCTCCCCTGAGCTGTTCAGAGCATCCAGTAGTGGGACATACCAAAGCTTGGACAGTCCTACGGGAGGGCCTCCGTCTGGTTAGAAGTCCCTCCTTGGTCCCTGTGGACACTTTGTAGAACCCTCCTACCAAATGCCACCTCGGCATAAAAATCAATTTTATAGTGTCTCATGAAGGGCGATGGAGAGGCCCAGGTTGCAGCCCTACAGATCTCATGTATTGGTGACTGAGTGGCCCATGCTGCCGAAGTTGCCACATTCCTGGTAGAGTGAGCTGTTATACCCCTGGGAACTGGCAGTGATTGCATCTCATATGTTTTAGCAATCATGGCCCTTAACCACCTGCCAATTGTTGAAGAGGAAACCGTACGTCCTTGAGTGGTAGGTTGAAAAAAAATAAAGAGGGCCTCTGATTTTCTAAAATTTGCAGTGCGGTCTGTTTAAGAGCACAAAGCTCGTTTTACATCAAGTCAATGCCACTGACGAGTTTGAGTCTATGGACTGGCCTCGGACAAAAGTTAGAAAGGACCAACTCCTGTGCCCTGTGGAAAGCCGAGTTAACTTTTGGCATGAATGTTGGGTCTGGTCGAAGGACAGATCTGTCAGTATGGAAAATGCAGAGGACCTGTCTCACCAATAAAGCTGCCAGTTCGGAGATTCTTCATGCTGAAGTTATTGCAACTAAAAAGACCACCTTATAGGTTGGGAAGCAGAGACTCGCCCTTAGGGGCTCAAAGGGACCTGTTGTGAGAGAGGGCGTTGGTACTAATCTGACACGCCTGTTCTCTTTGAGCTGTGAAGAGCATCCAGTAGTGGGGAGGTGCTTCAGTCTCTGCATTTCTAGGCTGGGCTTAATTTGTGGAACGCTCCTCCTTCTCCACGGGACTCCTCCCCAGCATTCCCCAGTTTTGGTGAAGACGAGACAAATAAACACCCTCGTCCTCAATGCCCTAACAATTTGTTGGCCAAAACAGGATCCCATCAGACGGAAAAAGGGTGGGATTGGATGCTCTTCACAGCTCAAAGAGAACGGGCATGTCAGGTAAGTACCAACGCCCCTTTCTCCCATGGGCTGTTCAGACCATCCAGTAGTGGGACATACCAAAGCTTGGCCTGTCCTACGGGAGGGACTCTGTCTGGCCTGGAATCCCCTCATGGTCCCTGTGGACCCGTTGCAGAACTCTTCTGTCAAAGGAGGCCTCAGCAGATGCGAACACATCTATCTTATAATGCCTAATGAAGGGCGATAGAGAGGCCCAGGTTGCGGCTCGACAAATTTCAGTTATTGGTGCCTGTGTGGCCCATGCTGCCGATGTTGCGGCACTCCTTGTTGAATGAGCTGTTATGCCCCTGGGCACCTGCAGTGATTGAGTCTGATGTGTTTTTGCTATCATGGCCTGTAGCCAACGGCCTATTGTAGAAGATGAGACCTTGCATCCCTGAGTGTTGGGCTGAAACGACACAAATAAGACTTCCATTTTTCTGAAAGTCACTGTGCGGTAAATATACACTGCTCAAAAAAATAAAGGGAACACTTAAACAACACAATGTAACTCCAAGTCAATCACACTTCTGTGAAATCAAACTGTCCACTTAGGTAGCAACACTGATTGACAATCAATTTCACATGCTCTTGTGCAAATGGAATAGACAACAGGTGGAAAGCATAGGCAGTTAGCAAGACATCCCCAATAAAGGAGTGGTTCTGCAAGTGGTGACCACAGACCATTTCTCAGTTCCTATGCTTTCTGGCTGATGGTTTGGTCACTTATGAATGCTGGCGGTGCTTTCACTCTAGTGGTAGCATGAGACGGAATCTACAACCCACACAAGTGGCTCAGGTAGTGCAGCTCATCCAGGATGGCACATCAATGCGAGCTGTGGCAAGAAGGTTTGATGTGTCTGTCAGCGTAGTGTCCAGAGCATGGAGGCGCTACCAGGAGACAGGCCAGTACATCAGGAGACGTGGTGGAGGCCGTAGGAGGGCAACAACACAGCATCAGGAGCGCTACCTCCGCCTTTGTGCAAGGAGGGACAGGAGGAGCACTGCCAAAGCCCCGCAAAATGACCTCCAGCGGGCCACAAATGTGCATGTGGCTGCTCAAACGGTCAGAAACAGACTCCATGAGGGCAGTATGAGGGCCTGACGTCCACAGGTGGGGGTTGTGCTTACAGCCCAACACCGTGCAGGACATTTGGCATTTGCCAGAGAACACCAAGATTGGCAAATTCACCACTTGTGCCCTGTGCTCTTCACAAATGAAAGCAGGTTCACACTGTGCACATGTGACAGATGTGACAGGATCTGGAGATGCCGTGGAGAACGTTCTGCTGCCTGCAACATCCTCCAACATGACCGGTTTGGCAGTGGGTCAGTAATGGTGTGGGGTGGCATTTCTTTAGGGGGCTGCACAGCCCTCCATGTGCTCGCCAGAGGTAGCCTGACTGCCATTAGGTACCAAGATGAGATCCTCAGACCCCTTGTGAGACCATATGCTGGTGCGGTTGGCCCTGGGTTCCTCCTAATGCAAGACAATGCTGGACCTCATGTGGCTGGAGTGTGTCAGCAGTTCCTGCAAGACGAAGGCATTGATGCTATGGACTGGCCCGCCCGTTCCCCAGACCTGAATCCAATTGAGCACATCTGGGACATCATGTCATGCTCCATCCACCAACGCCACGTAGCACCACAGACTGTCCAGGAGTTGGGGGATGCTTTAGTCCAGGTGTGGGAGGAGATCCCTCAGGAGACCATCCGCCACCTCATCAGGAGCAAGCCCATGCATTGTAGGGAGGTCATACAGGCACGTGGAGGCCACACACACTACTGACCCTCATTTTGACTTGTTTTAAGGTCATTACACCAAAGTTGGATCAGCCTGTAGTGTTTTTTTCCACTTTAATTTTGAGTGTAACTCCAAATCCAGACCTCCATTGGTTGCTAAATTTGATTTCCATTGATAATTTTTGTGTGATTTTGTTGTCAGCACATTCAACTATGTAATGAACAAAGCATTTAATAAGAATGTTTCATTCATTCAGATCTAGGATGTCTTACTTCTGTGTTCCGTTTACTTTTTTGAACAGTGTATATTCGCAATGCTCGCCTCACATCAAGCTGATGCCATTGTCGTTCCAACTCTTGAGATAGTCTGGGACAAAAATTAGGAAGTATCAGCTCTTATGCCCTGTGAAAAGCAGAGTTAATTTTGGGTATAAACATAGGATCAGGATGAAGGACCACCCAGTCAGAATGGAAGACACAAAGATCTTGTCTGATCGACAAAGCTGCAAGTTCCGAAATACGACGAGCGGAAATGATCGCTACGAGGAAAACTACTTTGTACATCAGAAATTGGAGACTTGATGATTTCAAGGGTTCGAAAGGGCACTTAGTGAGTGCAAGAAGGACCTTGTTAAGGTCCTAGGTGGGATAACAGTGAACAATGGGCATAAATTTGTGTCTCCTCGAAGGAAACTCCGTATACGTGGATGATGGAAAAGAGATAGTAGACCTTCACAAGTGATAACTGACGCCAAGGCCGCCACCTGTCTTTTCAACTTATTAGGTGATAATCCTTTGTCAAGCCCCTCTTGTAAGAACTCTAGGATTTGAGCCACAGATGGAGAGATGGGATCAATTTGAGACTTGGTACACCATTTGTAGAAACTGGACCACGTGGCATTGTAAATGCGAGTTGCTGAGGGGCGACCAGCAGCTTGGATGGTGGCAATAACTCTGTTGGAAAACTTTTCGCTCTTCAGACAACTCCGCTCAACCTCCAGACGGTCAGGTGCAACCATTGAGGGTCTGGATGTTGAAGGGGTCCCTGGGTTAGCAAGACCCTGTCCGGCGGAATTCTCCATGGTGTTGATACGGATAGACTGTGGAGGTCTGCAAACCACGGCCGTCTGGGCCAGTAAGGAGCTACTAGAAGCAGCTCCGCCCTCTCGTCTAGCAGCTTCTGGATGACCTTGGAAAGCAGTGGAAGTGGCGGGAGTGCGTACAGAAGTCCCGGGGGCCAACGGCAGTGGAGCGCATTGAAGTTCTCCGCTCCTTGCGAGGGGTACCTGGAAAAAAATCTCAGGAGCTGAGCGTTGAGGGGGGAAGTGAACAGGTCTACCACCGGCTGTCCAAATATCCTGACCGCCTCTTGAAACAGGGTCGGATGGAGGCGCCACTCCGATTGATCGATCAGGGCCCTGCTTAGCCAGTCTGCCTGTATATTTGACAGCCTCGAAATGTGCTCTGCTCTGATGGAAAGTAGGTTGCTCTCTGCCCAACAACACAAGCACTCCACTTCCTGCATGAGGTGTTTCGACTGTGTGCCTCCTGTTTGTTTATGTGAGCTTTTGCTGTTACGTTGTCGGTCAATATTAGTATGTGTTGATTGCATACCTGTGAAAGGAAGCTGTGGAGAGCCAGGTGTACTGCTCGAAGCTCCAGCCAGTTTATGCTGCACGACTGTTCTATGGAGAACCAGCGGCCTTGGGCTGTGAGTGATTGAAACTGAGCTCGCCATCCAAACAGGCTGGCATCAGTGGTGATGGTACCCTGTTTCTCCAACAATACGGCCTCCCCCAATAGGAAGTCCCAGCATGTTTTATAGGCATGAAATGAAATTAAGCCCCCCCCCCCAAATTAAGGCCTATATTAAAACATGTGAAATGGGGGGGGATGGTGGGGGGGCTTGCCATTAGGAAGTACTTTTGTTGCACACCCGGATATGGTGCTGCCTGCGTTGACCCTGATACGAAGTGCCCCACCAACGCTGAGGTCAACATCCAAGCCATCACAGCCCGTCCGAAGATGCAAGGGGGGGGAATTAAGTCACCCCCGAAAAGACGGCCTAGTCATTTTTTCGGGGCTCAAAAAAAAAATAAGACCCGGCCTTATTATATGAGAAACACGGTAAGTCTGTGGGGCTATTTGAAGAGACAACATCTGTTTATGACTGGTCTGGTCTACCAATGGAGAAATATGAGGACCTTTGATGGAACCTTGACCTTGTACTTGGAGTTGCTTTGGCCGGATCGCTAGTACGGGAGCAGGAACCACTGAAGGGATCTTGTGTGGAGGCGGGCCCAAGGAATAATAGATATACATGAAATCATCTTGCCTAAAATTTTTGATAGGTCATCTAGGGGCACCCTATTTTGGACTCTGATCTCCTTAACTAATTGATGGATGCTGTTTTGACTATCTGGTGACAGGAAAACTTTGCCTTCCACTGTACCGTATCTATGATTGCCCCAGATGGATTAATCGAGTCGATGGTGTTAACTGACTCTTTTTCCAATTGATTGAGAACCCATGTAGTTGTAGGGATTGTAATGTGGTCTGAGTATCTCTGAGTGCTTGATGAATTGAAGATGACAAAATTAATATATCATCAAGGTAACACTGGAGTCGTACAGGTACACCTCGGAGATGAGCAGCAAGAGCTGCGAGAACCTTTGTGAAGGTCCTGGGGGCAGATGCTAGTCTGAAAGGAAGAGCCACATATTCGAAATGATGGTTATTATAACAGAATTGTAGAAATTTATAGTGGGAAGGCCGAATAGGAATATGTAAGTATGCCTCCATCAGATCTATGGATGTAAGGATGTCACCTTTTCTGAAGGATGGATTGCAGGGTGTGCATTTTAAACTTGCGATATACTAAGAATAGGTTAAGAAGTTTCAAATCTAAAATTGCTCTCCATCCCCCCCCCAACTTTTGGGAACAACAAAAAGATGTGAATAGAAACCTTGCCCTCGTTGTTCATTAGCTACTGGTTGGATGGCTGTTGGATAGCTGTTTCCATAAGACTGCGTTGAAGCAGATCTCTAGAAAGAGGGCAAGACATAAAGAAGTCTGGGAGACTGGATTGAAACTCTAGTGCAAGGCTGAATCTGATTGTGTCTCTGACCCAGGAATCAGACGTTGAGGAGTCCCATTGGTCTGCAAATAATTTAAGGCAGCCGCCAATGGGAGTTGGGTCCATGGAGTTATCTTGGACACTGGAAAGGTCTATTTCCTGCTCCTCGAAGGGATCTCTTGGACTGGCCACCCCTTCGGTTCTTATCCCTGAAGTTGGACCTCTCTGGCTGCTGCCCTAGTCTCTGGTATGTTGTTGAGAATGGTCCCTGATAAAAGGGCCGAAAGGATCCCTTCCAAAAGGACTAAGGGTTTCTAGGATCTGACTTCCGAAAAAGAGAAGCTAGAATTTTCATTTTGTTTCGAGTTTCGATAAGCAGCAGATCGAGGGAAGGGCCAAACAGTCTGTCTCCCACAAGAGGAGATGAAGCCAGCTTGCATTTGTGCTTAATATCCGCTTGCCAATGTTTTAACCTTAGTAAGCGTCACACTCTGACATGTGAAGTAATGACTCTGGCTGAAAACTTAACTGCATGAAAGGTTGCGTCAGCTGAGAATTCAGCGGCTGCAATAAGTTTTGCAATGTCTTGGTGTGCTCTAATGTTTGAATTGGGGACATGCTCCCGCAAGAGCCAGAGCCATCTGAGAGAAGAATGGGTAAAGAAGGAAGTGGCCGTGGCCGCTCTGATGGCCCATGCATCAGACTGATGGGCCCTGCATAGGACCAGCTCGGCCCATTTTTCCTCCGGCTTTAATGCCTCCAGTGCTTCACGGGGAATGGAGGACGAGGACACTAATTCCACAATAGGTTCATCTACCTCGGGAATATTCAACAATTTTAAGAAATCAGGGGCCAAATTAAAGTATTTCCTGTCATAACCCGTGGAGGCAGGGTACACTGCTGCAGAAGCCCACTGTTTCTGTACCAGGTCCACAAACATGTGAGGAACTGGAACCACATCTGCCTTGACTACCGATTGGCTGAATATTAGATCTTCTGGTCCCTCTTCTGAAGGAGTTGGAGTGGTAGAAGGGGACGGCTTGTCTAGGTGCACAGTGTTTTGGGCCTTAAACAATAGTGATTTGAATAGTTGTGGGCGGAATAAGCCTGTAAACAGGTTGGTCAGGAACAAGGCCCTCATCCTCAGACATCCCCCTTTCTAAGGGGTGTGCTTCTGAAAGGGCCCGGTCACTGTCATGTATTGATCCCAATTCAATCTGTTCCATCGGATCAATGTGCTCTACCTCTTCTGTCTCCTCCGTCTCTTCCTCCCGCGGCCCTTGGAGGGGCATATCCCCATGAAACTGTACCTGGGTATAGTGTTGCTCCAACCTGGCCAATGATCGAACTGATTGTGAATCATACTCAGCGGGTGCAGGCTGATCCCCGGACAGAACCGCATGTTGTAGGCCTGCTGCGATTCCCTGACGGATAGCCATCTCCATCCAGGCCTTCATCCTCTCTGGCACTTCGTCTGGAAGAGTTTGGTCCTGTGAAAGACCGGCATCAGTGGGTATGAACGTTGCTTCAGGTGCCCTTCACATGGTTGGTGGTCCAGCTGACTGGGCGTGTTGACTCTGTGGAGCCACGCTGCGCCTGGATGAGAGGGAGAGATCTAGGGGAGGAGGAGGGTGGGAAGAGGAAGACGGCACTGGACTGAGGGGCGAAGAAGCTTGAGAGGTCCTGTGTGCCTCTCCTGTGCACTTATCTATTTGTCTTTCCAATGCCTGCCTGTGGCGCCTGTTGGCGTCTTTTTCTGAGGCCTTAGAATTCCCTTTTGTCTGTTTAGATTTGTGCTGAGATTTAGACTTGACCCTTGAGGTTGAGGTCTGGGAACCACTACCACCTGCCATTTCAATTAGAGATTTTACAGTATGCTTTTTATTTAGCACAATACTGTATAGGCAGTTGGCACACCCAGGGGTCTGACCAAGGGTGGACACGGTGCCCTGAAATCGAAATCCCCCTTTAGATATAAATATGTATATATATGTTTCTAATATGAGTCGTATCTCAATAATAATAAATTTATTATTATTATATTACTAGCATTATTATAGTTATTATTCTTAATATTATTATAATTATTATTATTAGTGTATATATGTATGTAAATATATATCAATATAACAGCTATATTTAATTGGATATCCCAATCAGCCAAATTGAGAATGCTTAACAGGCCCAAGTATTAATCACAGGCCTTCAACAGCTTCCCTGCACAGGCAGACAGGGTTAAGCCAACAAGAATAACAGATGGCCTCGAATATGGTTTAAAACGAGGTTGCAATAATTCCTTGGGGTTTTTGAATAAAGACCCTCTGATCGGGAATAAGAAACTAGCTCACACAGTCTACAGAAGATTCGCACTCAGCGTGGCCACATGGTCTGCTTACAACAAAATGGCGACCGGTGGCGTTCAGGGGGGAAAACAGCGATACGACTTGGTTGCAAGAGAGAGAAACAAAACCATGCCGTTTGTTTGTTAAAACTATGGCAAGGGCAGGGCTAGTGGTTGGGGGGGCACGGAACGAAGCCGAAGCCTCCCTCCACTTCAGGATGCGAAAAGTGCTTCCCGATACAGCAATCATCGATGACCAGATGGAAAAGGCAGCGTGGGTAGATTGTTAAGCAATTTGTTGAGAGAACCTGAAAGATGAATTGACTGTCTCCAAACCTGAAAAGAGAAATTCTCCTGTTTTGGCCAAGGAGTAACGAAAAAGCACTGCCTATCCCTCACGAGGCTGAGCCAAAACTGGGGAACGCTGGGGAGGAGTCCCGTGGAGGAGGAGGAGCGTTCCATAAATTAAGCCCAGCCTAGATATGCAGAGACTGAAGCACCTCCCCACTACTGGATGCTCTGAACAGCTCATGGGAGAACTATTAAGACTTTGTCAAGGTCCCAGGTTGGGTATCGATGTATCACTGGGGGTCGCAAGTTTGTGGACCCCCTAAGGAAACTGCTAATGCACGGATGATGAGAGATGGAGTGGAGATCACCCCAAGAGACGACCGAGGCTAGGGCCACCACTTGTCTACGCAAGGTGTTAGGGGATAATCCCTTGTCCAAACCATGTTGCAGAAACTCCAACACTTGTGCCACCGATGGCGAAGTAGGGTCAATGTGAGATTTTGCACACCAATGACAGAAGATGGACCAAGTTGCATTGTATATGTGATTTGTGGAAGTGCACCTGGCCGCTTGGATGGTGGAAATAACCTTAGTGGAAATTTTCTCGCTCCTCAGATGTCTCTGCTCAATCTCCATATGGCTAGGTGGAGCCATTGATGGTCTGGGTGCTGAACTGGCCCTTGGGAGAGCGAGACTCTGTCTGGCAGTGTTCTCCATGGTTCTGCGGACAGATCCCTGAGGTCTGTGAACCAAGTCCGCCTGGGCCAGTATGGAGCCACTAGCAGCTTCTCCTTCTCCTGTAGAAGTTTCCGAACCACTTTGGGATTATTGGAAGTGGGCGAAACATGTACAGCAGGCCTGGTGGCCAACTGCAGCAGAGGGCATTGATGTTCTCCACCCCTTGAGATGGGTACTGTGAGATGAACCTGGGTAGCTGCGCATTGCTGGGGAATGCGAACAGGTCAATGACTGGTTGGCCAAACCTCTGGGTCGCTTCCAGAAAAAGATCTAGGTGTAGGCACCATTCTGCCTGATCTACAGTAGCCCTGCTCAGCCAGTCTGCCTGGGTATTTGACAGACCTGAGATGTGCTCCGCTTTAATGGAAAGTAAGTTGACCTCAGCCCAGAGGCACAATCTCTCCGCCTCTCTCATCAGTTGTCTGAAATGGGTACCCCCGCTTGTTGATGTGGGCCTTTGTCGTAATGTTGTCTTCGGGACGTGCTTGAACCAAAGCCGTGGGAGGAAGCTGCGAAGAGCTAGGTGGACTGCTCTGAGCTCCAACCAATTTATACTGCATGATTGCTCTGGTATGGTCCAACGCCCCTGTGCCGTGTGAGACCGGTAGTGAGCCCCCCAGCCAAAGAGACTGGCATACGTCATGATGGTGGCTCTGTGGGGGTCTTTGAAATGACAGCCCTTGTTAATAGACGGGACAGTCCACCAATGAAGTGATCTCAGGACCCTTGGTGGAGGTGTGACTTGGGCGTTGGTCCTGTCTCTTCCTGACCGTTGGTACAGCAGCAGGTACCATTGCAGGGTTCGAGTGTGGAGCCGGGCCCAGGGAACAATAGAGATGCAGGAGATCATTTTCCCTAATAATTTAGATGAGAACTAGGGGCACTTGCTTGATGGTTCTGATCTCCTGAGATACTTGTCTAATGCTCTCCTGCCTGTCTGGTGAGAGGAAGACCTTACCCTCCACTGTATCTATAATGGCTCCCAGGTGAATTAGCCGGGTTGAGGGAGTTAGGTGACTCTTAGCCCAATTTATGGAGAAACCATGTTGTTGTAGGGACTGCAAGGTAATAAGAGTATCTGACTTGGCCTGTTGACAGGAAGATGACTAAATTTAAAGGTCATCAAGATAGTACTGTAGCCTGACAGGTGCATTTCTGAGATGAGTGGCCAGGGTTGCCAGAACCTTAGTAAAGGTCCTGGGGGCGGAGGCTAGACCAAAAGGGAGGGCGACGTATTCAAAGTGCAAACTGTCATAGTAGAATCTGAGGAAATTGCTGTGGGAAGGCCAAATTGGAATGTGTAAATATGCCTCTGTGAGGTCAACGGACGTTAGGACGTCACCCTGTCTAATACTAAGTAAAATAGATTGTAAGGTAGTCATTTTAAATTTTCTGTACACCAAGGAGCAGTTGAGACATTTCAGGTCTAAAATTGCCCTCCCATCCCCTGAACTTTTCAGTACCAAAAAGAGGTTTGAGTAAAAACCCTTGCCCTGTTGATCTGGTGCCACTGGTTGAATGGCCAGGATCTCCAATACGTGTTTGATGGCTGTTTGCATAAGAAATCTTTTCTCAGGGTCCCTAGACCATGGGCATCTCATGAAAAAGTTCAGAGGGGTGGATTGGAACTCCAGAGCCAAACCAAATCTAATGTCCCTGACCCAGGCATCAGATGTCGAGGAATCCCACTTGTCGGCAAAAAACTTTAGCCTCCTACCAATGGGGGCGGTCTTGGTAAGAATTATTTGGGGCGGTGGAAGCCCCTGGTTCCTGCTCCCCTGAATTGCCTCTTGGATTGTCCTCCCCGTCTATTCCTGTCCCCAAATTCGGACCTCTCGGATTGTTGTCCCTGCCAGAATCCTGGTGTAGGTTTTTTAGCAATGATAGGGTCATCCCAAGGTCTTAGTTTGGGGTACCATCCTGCTACTAATGGGGCTTCTGAAAGAGTGAACACTGTGGTGGAGCAATATTTGCATTGTTATGTTAAATACCAACAAAATGGTTGGCAGATCTGTTACCTCATGCCAAGGTCGCCTACAAGAATGCTGTCCATAGCAGTACCGAATTTACCCTATCCCATGTGGTTAATGGGGTAGATCTTGTCCCAGTGCCAGAATGTCCTAAAGATATTCCAGAGGAGGGGGGTTTAAAAGAATGGATTACTAAACTGCAATAATTATGGGGCCCAGTGAAGGATACTTTAAGAAAGCCTGCAGAGGAATATAAAGTTGAAGCAGATAGAAAAAGATGCCCACAGCCTCCATTTTCTGTTGGGCAACCCGTATATCTATCTACAAAATATCTAAACCTCAGATTACCAAGTAGGAAACTGGGACCTAAATTCACTATTGAAAAGATCATTAACCAGTGACTGCACGCCTGAAATTACCACGCCTATTGGGGGAAGTCCACCCAGTTTTCCACTGCAGTCTATTACGTCCAGTCTGGACAGCAACTATTAGAGGTCCCCCTCCTCCAAAGCCTCCTTCGGTAATAGTCGGAGGGAAGAGACACTTCGAGGTACAAAAAACCCTTGACTCGAGAACACACAGAAAACAGTTGCAATATTTAGTATTGTGGAAAGGATAACCACTGTCGGACTCTTCGTGGGTGCATGAATCGAATAAGAAAGCACCCCGACTTCTAGCTAGATTCCACCATTTGAATCCCACAAAACCAGGGGGCTGTCACATGCCTTGAATTGCACTAACTCTGTTATCTCTTAGCACAGGGCTGCCATTGCAGTGGGTTGCATGTCCACTTAAGGATCGCTACTCGCCTTGCTGAGGGAGCCGTGGCGGCGGGCTAGCGCTAAACAGCTGATTGGCACTACTTCAGAGTTCAATGAAGAGGCTGACAGCGCATGCGTGATCGTCTGGGAGGCGCTCCTTTCAAATCAACTGTGGACCAGCATGTTCCTTATTTGGACAAAGAGCACTGGGTGTGGTGGCGGCGGAGTTTATATGCAATTGTTTTAGGTGGGGGGGGGGAGCGTGGCGTTTCCCTGATGTGGAAAAAGATTGCTGGTGTGGTGGAGGCGGAGTTGTAGAGCAGCTTTAGTAGCGGTGGGTAACGCTGAGAGAGTAGATCTGACTTTTTTTGCGCTTTGGTGCTGGTCAGTTTGTACCATGTTTCCACAGAAGAGATAAAAGGCATTGGCAGAAACAAAGCGTGTTGTCGTTTATTCCCTGGCAGAACAGCAGAACCTGACACTAACACAGTCACTGCTTCTGCTCAGAAACTATTCAACTTTTTAAACTTTTCTTTGCACACTGCAACAACTGTAAAATCTGTCCATATAACAAATTTCCTACATC